GTCGTTATGCAAAATAAACCTCGATACGTGCAGCTTCATAGTATTTTAAAGGTTAAAGTGTAGCATTTGTTCAAAGCACTTCCTGTATTAACCACTGACTGTTATGGAATTTCTTTAAGTAACATTAAATGATTATCAGCTCGACTCACTAACCACCACTGAAAGCAGCTTGTGCTGTGTGTTCATGAATTCTCTTTCTTGTGTCGTTTGAGCTGAAACTTCTCCTCCCACCTTCATCCTCTGAAAGTCAACATTACTGCGTATTTACATCTCACAAGCAAAGCTGGCAATCAATCAGCGCGCTCACGCTCAGCGCAGGGGTTAATTAGTGCTCTCTCGTCTTGCTCAGGTTTTCTCAGCGGTTTCAAAGGCGCCATTCCTCTGCACTTCGCTTACAGAGTGTTGCATTTATCTTTGCTACGTACTAATTGCCTGATCTGTAATTCCCCCGGGGTTTCTTCTATTTCTTTCATTTTTTTTAGGAGATAAAAGGATAGCAAAAAAGAAGTTGGAATCTAGCAGCTTATCGCCCGCCGCTGAAGGCAAAACGACGATAATGCTAATGTTAGCAAAATATTTCATGCACCAGCGGATAGATTTGAATAAAATAATTGGATTTACGTCTGCAACCGATTCGATTTTGGAGTCAGTCACATTTAAGATGGCACATTGGCAATAAATGTAGTGAATACTGTCTGTTAGCAAAATATCTCATAAACCACAGGACGAATTTTATTGAATCTTTCAGAAAAAACCCCCCAAAAAACACTAGATTTACGCCGACAAGTGAATAACTTTTGGAGTCATCCCAATTTAAGACAGATGCCACAGCTAATTGAAATTAGCCAACACAAAAATGTCTCTAAGATAGTCAGTTTTTCATATGCCTGTTGTTGGATTTAATATTTTATACCTTTTTATAATTCCTATCAAGCACTCAAACGTCATGTCATATAAAAAAACATTTATGTCATGTGTGTGCGTGTCTTTCTTCCAGGGTTGAACTATGTTTATAGAAAATGTTTGCTAATTCTAACTAGTTGACCTTTAAATATAATCTCATAGGAGCTAAAGATAATTTTACAAGTTCACATTTGATAGATTACAAGCAATCAAATCAGGCCATAAAGCTAGAACACATCTCTTTAATTTAGACAATATAGTTTGACTAAGTAAAATCCAACTGAAACTAAACTAAAACAAGTATAAAAATGATCCAAATAAAAACACAAACATGAGTTGGATAATAATTAAGTTATTAATTATTCCTAGAAATAAACAAGTTGATTTCTAATCAGTTGGTATCACTAAGGTATAATCACGTTAAACAAACAGTGTTAACAGTTTAAACGCAGACAAGGAAACTAAGATGAATCTGCCTTAAAAAACAGAATCACCAGGCCTTCAACAGATATTGAATTAACACCCATGTGGTAGGTAATAATTAATAGTTATTAATTATTACGTATAAACAATTTAGACACGAATCATTTTGTATCCCTAAAGTATAATAGCAAGTTAAACTTTAAACAAAAGCCGATTTCGGTGTAGCAAAACTTATCTGAAATATAGACGTTAACGTCCTTGAGGGGGCGGGCTAAGAGTCGTAACCATAGCAACAGAAGCTGAACCAATCAGGAAGCTAGCCTTCTCAAACGGGGATAAAAGGCCGGAAATGACACACGCCCACCGAGCATTTCCGGGAGGACCGCGCGGCGACGGTTCGTTCTTAATGCTCCATTTATATACATATATCTTATTAATGTAACTGTTTGTCTCTGAATATCTGTAACCCATGTTGTGTCAAATAAATCTTTTATACGAAGGGCGACGCCTCAGCCGTTTTGAACACGACGTGGTATTCCAGCCACAACACTGTCTAAATTTTAGTATGGTAGTACCACAGAGTGACTGCTAACAAAAACTCAAAGCACTAACACATCACACAACATCTTGACTTTAGACTTTCCCAAATTACTATTAGAGTCAACACGGTTTGTATGTTAGCAAAATATCTCTTGAACCACTGAACAGATTTAAGTGAAATTTTCAGTAAAGAGTTACTGCCTGAAAATCTACGATCCACTAACGTTTGGAGCCAATCCAATAAAAAATGGCCGGCACAGCTATTTGATATTAGTCAATGCCATAATGGCTCTCTGTCAGTTTTACAGATACTGAGCAAAAGTTTCATGTGGTAGTAGCTGATAGTTGTCTGCACAATATCCTCTGAGTGTGAAGCAGCGATTTATAAGCATCAATTTAATATGCAGGATGACAGTGAGCAATATGCATTCCTTTGAGGTTAGGTCTTTCATTTAGTAAACAGAACTGGCTCTTTTGACTGTAAATATTTCAGACCCCTGATCTGACAGGATGTATGCGCTGTATGGCGGTGTAAGCTGTGTTTGCTTTGCAACAGATCCACTTGCCAATATTTACCCATCAAACGTGGCAGCATGTGTGGGTTTAGACAGACAGGATGCCCTCTAAAAATATGTGTGCCATCCCTTACCCCTGTTATCACCAGGCTTCTTGTGTTATCTTGTGACCAACAGTACAAACAGCCATCAGACAAACAAACAAGCTCTTGTGAGTTCAGTGGCGATGACCTCCAGCGTCGAGGGCTGAAATTATTTGCTTTAGTGCTTGATGAAGTGGGGACGGGCTGAGCAGTTTTCCAGCTGGGGGTGTGTTTGCTCGCCGTGTTTGATTGTCTTTTATGATAATCTCAGAGCGTGTGTTTGAAACCTGTCTGACATGTTGAGAGAGAGAGAAGCCTCATGTTCATCTGCTCTGATGCCCTCAAAATTCTATCAAACTCAATAGTGCTTTGTTGCTACACAGCATCTTTAAAGCTACAAATGAACAAAGGAGGCTGTGATAATATGACGACGTTGTGGAATTGTCCAAAAGTGAATTTTAGTTCAGACAAAAAAGCAATATTTGGGGTAATAAATTGGCATAAAAGGAAAATACCACAACAAAATGAATTGGCTACATTTGCAATATAGATACCTTACAGAGTAGATCATCTTCTTCACCTATATGCAAACAGAGTTGGGCTTTTTTTAAAATTTTTTAACACTTTAGTAAAAGCACTTTTTGGGAGTTTGTGTATGGGCTTTTACTGGGGAACAAAAATGAGTCCCAGTTGGGCATTTGATGAATGGATATAAAACACAGATAGGGCCCACCTAACCCACCCTGCTAATGAGCCACAAGACAATAAATTCAATTCAAAGACAATTATTCAAGACAAATGTTTCAGCCTGTTTAGTACCCTATCTGAATATTAATAATTATCTAGTTATTATTTTAAAACTGGAGGACAGCATATACAACATAAATAAACCTAAACTCATTGTGCTGTAGTCAAAAATAAACAAGACGTACACCGATGTCTCCCGGCGCTGAGGGAGATGAAGAGTGAATGTTTGTAGTTTTCAAGATGAGGAGTGTTTGTCTGGACTGGAACTGAACAAGGAATGTAAGCAAACAATGTTTTTGGTGAGAGATACTCAAGATGGTTGGAGTTATACAGTGTATAAGAACAGTGGCAGTTTTTTGTTGTTTTGCTTGCCCACAGCGGCGCAGAGTGACAGCTCCTGGTAAATGGACTGTACTTATGTAGCGCCTTTCTATCTTATTGAGATACTCAAAGTGCTTTACAACACAATCTGTGTCCTCATTCATCCATCCATCCAGCACTCTACTAGATCTCTACAAAGCTAATTGAACAAATCATTCTAAAGAGACTAATCAATTCTTTATCACATTCATACACTGATGGGACACACATCGGAGGCAGTGAGGGGTTCAGTGTCTTGCCCAGGGACACTTCGGCATGTGACTGCTGGTGGATTCGAACCCCCAACTCTTGCATTGGAGGATGACTGCTCTAACCTCTCAGCCACAGCCGGCCCTCTGCTCCCTCTGGTGAGCAGAGGGGGCAGTTTTATCCACAAACAGATGCAATGGCAGAGCCAGGGGGTGGCCAATGGTGGCCTTGGCCACCATAGATTCATTTTCAGCCACCCCACCAGCCACCCCAATCATATGAGGAAACTATACTTTTAAGCAACATAAAATAAGCATACGTTTCTTTAAATGATCAGGGAGGCTGTTTTACAGTGGTGACCATCTTAGATTTTGATGTGGGAACACAGTTTGTGTGATTTTGTCACTCCTAAATGCAGCGACACAACAAAATAAAAGTATGTATCTCACTTATTTTTCAACATATCTAGCTCACGAGACGGATGAACACAAACTTGTTTGGAGATTTGATTTTTTTTTTTATTGCTCACTACCAAAGCCAACAGGACAGGATTGTTTTTGAGTGTGTGTGTGTTTGTCTGTACGTTAGCAAAATATCTCTCTTCTCATTTTACACTTGGAACAACCACATACAGTAAGTGTAATCAAATCCCACGCCTGACAAAACTCCTCTTTAGTTTCAAAAATCCTTTAATAGCTTTTTCGTTTAGATTAAACAATGTTATGATAGGTTCAAAGAAATCAAATTTCAAAGCTCTACGTCCAACACGTCCATTCAGTAAGGGACCCCCCCCCCCCTTCAGTGTTCGAGGTACAAACCACTTGCAGAAGAAGAAATGTTCTGCCAGAGTCACAAAACTCCTTTGGAGATGGGAACAACCGAAGTGGTTCACACGCTGTAATTACAGTCATCTCTCTCTGAAGACCTTACAATGTTCATAAACAAACAACAAATCAAATACCGCTCTACGTTTATTCTGTACAAACAAGCCGAGCCAAAAGAACAATGTTAGTTAGGAGTAGGAAAACACATCTTAAGCAATTATTTTGTTTATAGTGAAGCTGAAATATTCCTACAATGTACTGAGCAAAACTCAAAATCACATTGAGCCAAAATATAGCAAGGATACTCAAGTAGACTACGATAAATTACACAACACTACATATGCAAAACTGAATGGTTAATTTTTAAACGATGTCTAATTTACATTTCTGCACCCCAGTTTCCAGCACTTCCACATGCTCTCTCTCCCACACACACACACCCACACACACACCCTCACACACAGGTGCTGTATTTGCACTACCAGATAGAAACATTTTGGGTACGTTGGACATTTTCATCAGCTATTTTGGGTTGAGTTTTCATCCCTTGCTGCTCTGCCCCCACAGGAAAAATCCTTGTGTAAGCGATGTGCAAGGTATTTTAAAGTAATTACAGTAAAAATACATTTTCAGAATAAGCAAGGCGGAATGAGAAATATGTAGAAAACAGCTTGTTAAGAGTAATAATAATAACAATCATATTAATACTGCTTTTCCCCCCAGAAATCATCTTCAACCAGTTGTAATGTCCCATCGTTCCACGAGAGCAAAATAGATATCACAGAGTAAGAAAAAGCTTCCCATACAAATCCAGCTGTATAAACATTATACTAAGTTCTTGCTAGGTAAAGTTCCAAAAAAGCCAAAGTGAAAAATGAAATGCACTTCTTCTTCTTCTTCTTTTGGACTGCCTTTGAGAATGGTTATTATAAAATGACTCTGCATTTGAGACTTTGTATTATGAGAAAGAGAGCGAAGGCAGGATGTTGGTGATCGCACACCTCTGGAAATGACAGAACAAACATATTTTGATTCTATTTTACTTACACATCCTAAATACAGCTCTAAATTTTAATGTTTGTCGTATATTTATCGTCTCCGCCTCCTGCCAGGCTATACTCGGGTGGTGGAGTGGGTGCTGGGCAGGCCTGCGGAGCTGTAGCCGGCAGGGAAGGTGCTGTATGGACTCATGTTGGACAGGCCCATCAGGGAGTTAGGGATCATGGTGATGTTGTTGGGGGTCATCAGAGGGATGTCGTCCGGGGAGCGGCGCTGACTCAGAGAGAAGCTGGGCGAGGCGTGAAGAGGATTGTGAAGGGCCTCGCACGGGCTCCGTTGCTGGGACGACAGGGTCTCGTCGACCGTGTTGGTGTGGCTCGCGTTGTTGCCTTTGCTCTCGCGCTGGGGACTGGGCTGCTGGGAGGTTTCCTGGCGGCTGCGCTTGTCCTTGCGGTAGTACAGAGCGGCGAAGGCCAGGACGTTGAGGAAGAGCAGCGACGCCCCGACTGCGATGGTGACGCTGAGCTCTGTGGAGTAATCTCTGGGGTTCGGCATGATCAGAGGACCCATCTCTCTCCCTCCCTCACCTCCACCGTGGGACGTGGATACGGGAGGTCGCCCCGTGCTGCCAGACCGCTTCCCATTGGACTGGGTGGGATCCAGAGGAGTAACTTTGGTGGTGGTGGAGGAGTAATAGAATATTCCCTGGATGTTGTAGAGATGTGGCACCAGGTGTTTCCAGAAGGCCACTTTGGTGGCGCGGTAGTGGTCACGGATGCGAGGCTTCAGGCCGATGTGCAGGTAAAACTGTTCATAGGGGTCGTACTTAGACCAGGCGACCTCCTCGAAGCGGTTAGCCTTGGTGTGGATAAACTTAGTGTCCTGTGGCACTGGCTTGTTCGGATCCCTGTGAACACATCAGAGAAGACGGGTCAAAAAACAAACTCCTCATGAACACAAAAACTGATATCTGCACAGAGTCCATTCAGTTCATGACTGCAGTGGACCCTTGATTATCACGGGGGTTACGTTCCAGACACCACCACGATAGGTGAAAAACTGTGAAGTAGGAACATTTTATTTATTTTAGTACTATATTTATATATATTAGGCTTTATATACCCTTCCCACACTATTGCAATGTTCTAACCTCCCTAAACGAGCACAATGAAAGAGAGAAAGGTTCGGTTTGGGTCACACTTTATTATTTTAAATAAACAATCTATGCTGCTCATTCAGCTCACTCAGGTATAAGATAGACTCCCGCCCCCTCCTTTCTTTTTCCGAGGCTGTCTGTTGCTCGTCTTCCTGTTGTGTGTCTTTGCCTTGCTGTCTGCTGCCTCAGAAAGAGAAAGGAGGGGGTGTCTGTCTTATACCTGAGTGAGCCGCGCTCAGCCATTCTCTCTTTCTCTGCTTCCTGAGCAGTAGTATAGCGATGGGGAAAGACAGACCCCACTCTGCCCCTCCTTTCTCTTTCTGAGGCTCTCAGTTACAGCAGACAGCCAGCCTCAGAAACAGAAAGGAGGGGGCGGGGATGGGGTTTGTCTTTCCCCATTGCCAATTGTGTGTCATATAAAATCTTATGTTGAAAACCCGTGAAAGAGCGAGTCCGCAAAAGTCGAACCACAAAGTATCGTGGGACTACTGTACTCATCTTTATAGGAATAGTTTAGATTCTTTTAAAGCGTGTTTTTTTTTAATGTTATGAACAAATAATGTCTTACCTAATGTAAATGTAGATTTTTGACTGCCCTCAGTTTGGATAAATATGTTTATTCTGACCAATTTGACAAGCTAATAATTAGTTTGAACAGTTTAGTCTTTTTTTTTTGCATGGAAAGCTGTAAAATGTTTGAAACTAGAGTTGTTTTAAGGTGACAGAGATCCACTTTCATCTCATTCAGTTAGCTTGTTAGTTTGGTCAGAATTCAACTTAAACTGAGGTTGTTCGAAGTGCCATCTCCATCAGGCAAGGTACTAACTATTTAAAAACTTTTCACAAAAACCTTTGCAAAATTGTGCAAAAATAATGAACCAGAAAAGATAAAACAAGTAAATGACGTTGCTCTACATACAGCGGAAAACACCGTGAATTACTGAATGTAAATTTGGTGATGCAAAGTTTTTTTAATTATTTTGAGAAATTAAATAAATACTGCACCATATAACAAAGTAGAAATATACTAAACATGTCAGAAAGATAATAATAGTATCAATAATAATAATGGTGATGATGATAATGACGCTGAGGACATTTCTGTGTAACGGCAGTAAAGATGGAGAAACATTTTCCCCAGCTAAAGAAAACAAAATGAGGCTAACACAGCGTCGTATCTCAATTCTCACCGAGGCCTCCATTTATTCTGACACAGCAGCATTACCAGCCCACGGTGACCTGCGCTGAGTTTTTCTAACTGCTGGGGTCATCCCACATAAAGATTTATTGCAGCTGTAAAGTACTTCCCACAAAACAGCAGAGGAGTCCTTCACATCAGTAAAACTCACTCAGGTGTCTCTTAAACTCAAAAAAATTACCTGCAGAGCTGCAGCGTTTCACTTGGCTGCTCTTTTATCTGCAAGTTTTTATTTTATTTTACTGAAGAAACTCAGACCGGAGCTCGTCTATAACAATAAATTATTATTTATTTAAACATGATGAACTTTTGTTTGGGTAGAAACATGGAATATTTGTTGTCTTTCAGTCAAATGAGCTGAGAAGAATTCATGAAAAAATGTGCAGCACCTGATTTTACCTTCAACATTTGTCCCGATTATCTGCTCTGTTGCATATTTACGATTTATCTTTTTTGTGTGTGTGTGTGTTTTGATATAAAAACAGCTGCATCTGACACTCATCACATGCATTAAACCATCTGTGACCAACCTTACTATTCTTGTGAAGGTGACAAGCAGCAGGTTGTTCTTTTTGTCCTTTTTCTTGGGATGCAAATAGCACCGCCTCTCAGGAGACAGTAAATATATAAAGAACAGAACTGCTCTTTCAGAACAGGGAACTTTTAGATCTGCTAGTAATCTAATCAAATACGGGCACGTTTTTCCTTTAAATGCAATAATTAAACTGCTTAAATGAGGGCAATCTCTGTCAGTGCAGAAGGGCGGTGCAGTTTGAGGCGCACATTTCCCTTTGCAAGAGCTTTGTAAATTAGACAGATGAATAGTGGTGCAATCCTTCGGTGAAAAAAAAAATCGGTGTAATGTATTGCTTTGACTGTATGATGTTTAATAAAAGCAAAGTGTCAATAATAAAGCAAAAAAACAAACAAAAATGAGGGGATCTGGTAGCTCTGCTGTGTTATAGGAGATATTAGATTGTTCCTTCAGAAAGAAGATTCACATTAAAAAAGCATCAATGCATAACGCTCAGCGTGATCACTTTTATCCTCCATGATAAAACCTCTTTGTCCTGATTGGAGTGGCCTTCTCTGAGATTACAAAGCCTTCATTTGCATGACATGAAGGGGTCATTGAACCGGTTAATGAATGTGGAAATGATGTAAAATTTATGTTATAGCCTTCAAACCTCGGCTGAGGTGCTGTGGGGGATTTTGGATTAACATGTGAGACGGAGCGCTCCACGTTCCACATCAAACATCGAGCATCAGCCGCAGACAGCAGAATTAGTCAAACTGTCAACATGTCCTACAACTTACTGAGCCTTAAACATCAATAAAAAAAATTGGGGGTCTTTTTCTGCCTTTTTGGAATAATTTTTTGATCATTTAGGTTAAACACGGAGAAATTGTTTGACCTTTAAGAAATTTGCCCAAATAGGAGAGGAGAGACTAGAGAAGTGCTACAGCTTGACATTTAAAATGACATGGTTCATGTTAGTTGGAGCGTACTAACTTTATCTTTAAATGAGCTAATCAGACAGATTTTTTTAAAAACCTTTTGGTGTCATGTGTTTAAAAAAAACAAAAGGTAGGTTCCCTCAGAAGGATGACTCATTAAATTATTTGTAACAGTAAGGAAAGCAGAACCAACTTTCAGAATATTGTTTTAGTCTTCAAGGAATTCCTCCTAATCAATAAAATCTGAAGCCTGTTTTTTTCACATGGGAGTTCCAGTGAACTAATAAAAAAATAGATCAGGCTGAAATACATGGCTAGCTTAATAATGAGTCATTTTAGTTGTGTTGTTCTACTGTATAAAATAGTTACCAGTAGTTGGTAATTTATCATCTGGGACATCAGTCACAGAACACAGAGTATGAAAAAATAGATAGACTACTGGTTAGCCAAAAGAGGGTGCGTTTTTTTTAAATCATTTTTCAGGCTTAAAAATCAACTCTTCTCAACAAGAGTACCACGAATGACCAGTGGTGGGATGTAAAAAAGCACAAATACTTTGTTACTGTATTTAAGTACATTTTTCATGTATCTGTACTTTACTTAAGTAGAGTTAACTGTGAGTACTTTCGACTTTTACTCCACTCCATTTTACATTAAATATTTGTACTTTCTACTACACTACATTTCTAAAATGTGTTGTGTTACAAGTTACATTCACGTTGCGTTTTTAAAATTTGTTTGTTAGTTTGAAAGAAACTAATGGTGAGAGGGGAGTTGGTCCATTGAATCACTGCAAAGTGGGCAGGTAACGTTAGAGCCGTCTTCAAGAAGAACTGGGCCAATGTATATATTCTAGTATATACGTCATTGAGCTGGGCGCACCCACAGCTCCACTAACACCCAAAATGGATTCCACTACAGAGAGTCCGCCAAAAGATACGCACCACCCATGGCCTTTTTGAAAGACTATTGAAAGACTATTGAAATATTATTCAGTACAGCAGGACAGATTGTCTCTCCTAAAAGAGCCAGACTGGACTCAAAAACTTTGAAAACCAACTTCTTCTGAAATTGAACCAGAAATTCTTGCCTCAATATTAAAATGTGTCAGTTCATGATGTTAGGAGACAAGAGATGTCTCTAAATGGCTCAACACTCGGGTCCAAGTTTTGAAAATGTATCAGGAAGTTAAAATATTGTTCACTATTGACCCACTACAAGGTTGACTAGACAGTATTTTAACTAGAGTTGATGACAAACTGGAGTTGAAATGATCAGAGCCTGTTCCTTTGTTAGTTGTGTCTAACGCTCCTTTTTTCAGTCAGACAACTTTTACTTAAATGTGTTTACTGCAGTTAAAATGACACATTGGTTTTACTTTGTGCTAAATAAAAACTTTCAACGGTATAATCATTTCTCTTTCTTATTTTGCTTAATGACATTTAATTCTGCAGGTCATCCCTGAAATTCTGACGCACAGAATCACAAGTCCAAGTGTGAACTGTGTCACAGAGTAAACACAAGAAAAACATGCATTGTATGCAGCATTGTTCATTAAAATGGCTCAACACTATTAATGTATTACAGAAAATATACATATACAGCAAATATACATATAGTAGGTACACTTAATGATACTGTAGACCATTGCATTAGATAATACATTCAGCAAGTACTTTTACTTTTAATACTTGAAGTATTTTTAAAAGCAAGTACTTACTTACTTTTACTTAAGTAAAATGTTAATGTGATACTTCTACTTTTACTAGAGTACATTTTAGTCTGTTTATTTGTACTTTTACTTAAGTACAGTGTTTGAGTACTTTCTCCACCACTGCGAATGGCACATTATACTCTTGTCACCAAACTATTATACAGCAATCTATTGCAATGGCCTGGACAAGCTACGACCCCGTAAAACATTTGACCTTGATTTGAGCCCTTGTCCTGGAAAGTAATGAAAAGTGTACCTGACACTGTGTCTAGTGGTGACGCATATGTCTATAAAGTTTCATTAAATTATATTGAGCGGATCAGAAGTTATGGGCTGCACAAGAGTAAGTTCACAGCTGTTTGTATGTATGGATGGATGAAGACTATGCCAGAATATGTTCCACCTTCAACGGGCATATCAAAATGACACATTGGTGTGAAAGAATGCTAAATTAACTCATATTATACCCCTGCATATGTATTAAAAAAAACATTTGTTTAGTTTGTTGCTGTGTTATTATGCGCTGAGTGTAGAGCGTGTCTTTGCTGACATTGCAAAAGCTGAAAATGCAAGAAGACATGTCAAACATTAGAAGTTGCACTGCAACCTCACTGTTTTCAAAAAGTTGTGTTTTAGCTGGCTACACAAAAACGCCAAAGTGGTGTTACAAGATTTTTTTCACTCTGGAACTACTTGTACAAAACATGTCACTGGAAATGTTGTTACTCACCCACTCTTTGCAAAGTTGGTCCAATATGTCATGACCACGGCGCTAAGCATGATGTCATTCCTGGAGAAGTTACAAGGGAACAGATCTGTCGGGCCCACCATGGGGATGCCAAATACATAGGGCACCTCGTCTCCGTGTGCTGAGTCTGACCAAACGGGCTTCATAAGACTCTGGCAGTGGTGATAGAAGGCGTAGAAGTACGTAGGTGAGCCGTAGCGGGCATGTAGGTCAGCTGTTACCACCGATGGTTCCACCCACTGGTGGTCCGTGAAGAGCGCAACCAGGGTTTTTCTCCTAGTCTCTGGGTTATCCTTGTCAGCCCAGTCTGTGTACATGAATTTAATGGTTTCCCTGAGGGTGTCCTTCCCATCCGGGTAGCCATACAAACTGTCCACAAAGTCGGACACGGCAAAGTCGAAGTCGTTGCCAGACACGCCGTCCTCCAGGTCCATCAAGTTCTCCACAAAGCGCAGCCCTTCGCCCTGATTCACACCCAGCATTATATCATAGTTGAGAAACTCGCCCTGCTCCATCAGGATCTCTGGGTCATCTGGGATGACGTCTCCGTCAATAACGGGGCCGAAAGCCACGCGGTAACGAGCAGCCTGGATGTCTTGCTCCACAAGCTCCTTAGCACTCTTCTTCTGTAAGCAGGACACCATGTCAACTGTGTCCAACACGTTGCAGCCAACTCTCTCAGCAAGCATGCGGGTGTACTTGACTGGCTGGTAGTTGACGGCCCAGCTGGACAGTGCTGAACCACTTTGGATGATGGCTCTATGGAACAGACCTTTGGATGAAAAAGTTCAGAACACAGAAGAGACAAAGTGAATATTCTGTATGCTAATCAGAGGATTACCAAATTCATTCAACCTTTATTTACTTATATAGGTTAATCCCATTGAGCCTCAGGGACTCAATTACAAGAGAGACATGATTTTAACAAAGAGTGATGACAACAGTGGACAACAAAGACAACAATAGACAATCATAAAAGGATGCATACAAATTGAGAATAACAAGTGAAAATAAAAAAGTATAAAAAATGTAACAAAAATCTGCTAGATTATAAGGCGGTGTAGAAAACTAAAAACAGGAACATGCCTGCATTGGTTTTTGCCAGGAACTTAACAGATGTTTAAAGCCACTTAGAGAGGTCAAGGTTGAGAGCTTCAGATCTTTATGCAAGATATTCCAGGAAACAGGAGCAGAGTAGGAGAAGACCCTTTTGCCTAGTTCAGTCTGCATTGAGGGAACACTGCAGGTAATAATGTCCTGAGAGCGCACGCTGTAGCTGCACTCAAACAGTGACATGTAGGAGGAGATGTATAAAGGCAGCAGACCAAGAAGTGATTTAAAGATGAAAATGTACCAGTGGAAGAGTCTGCGTGAAGTTGATGTCCAGTTAACCAGTGAATACAGGGTGTAGTGGTGGGTACGGTAGTTACAGCCAGTTATGAATCTTAGTGCACCGTGATAGACAGCATCTGCAGGGTGCTTGCAGGAGCATTCATGTAAATAATGTCACCGTAGTCAATGGAGGGAAGGAAAGTCACAGTTACAAGGCGTTTCCTAGCGTTCAGAGTTAGAAAGGATCTGTTTCTGAAAAAGAAACCCAGTTTAACTTTCAATTTTTTTACTAGGTTTTCCACGTGGAGCTTAAAAGAGAGATGCGAATCGACCAAGATACCCAAATATTTATAGGAAATCAATAGGGACACCATTCAAGGATAAAATCAAAGGAAGAACTGCTGGGACCAACTTCCTGTTTGAAAACAGCATCTCTTTGGTTTTGTCGGCATTTAGGATGTTTGAGACTGAACAAATCAGACTTGATGATGTCAAAAGTGGACTACAAAAGCTGGAAAGCCTTTGCAACTGTTTTAGCTCGACAATAAACAACTGTGTCATCAGTATAAAAATGTAAGGATGCATCAGGGATGCTCTGACCTACATTACCTATGTAGATTGTAAAAAGGGTGGGTCCTAAGACTGAGCCTTGTGGTACATCATAGTTGACTGTTAAATAACTGGAGGAAGTACCATTATGATGAACACATTGCCTGCGGTCTGAGAGATAGTTAGTGAACCAAATAAATTTATGATTCACATCATAAAGATGGGGCAGCACGGTGGCACAACTGGTAGAGCTGCTGCCTCTCAGTGAGCAGGTCCCCAGTTCAAATCCCGGTCCAGGGGCCCTTCTGGGTGGAGTTTGCATGTTCTCTCTGTGCATGCGTGGGTTTTCGCCGGGTACTCCAGTACAGACCAAAAACATGCATGTTAGGCTGATTGGTGACTCTAAATTGTCCCTAGGTGTGAGTGAGAGAGTGAATGACTGTTTGTCTCGTTTGTCTCTATGTGTCCCTGTGATGGACTGGAGACCTGTCCAGGGTGTACCCCGCCCCTCGCACAGTGATTACTGGACATGGGCACCGGCGACCCCATGACCCAAAATGGAAGAAGTGGGTAAAAGATAATGGATGGATGGACGTGACAAAGATAAGACTGGCTGATACATATTTTAGGTAATTTATTGCAAAAAAGGGCCACATCTGGTCAGAAAGACACAACAAAACAAAGACTGATGATACCAGAACTGCTTGAAGGTGGTTTAGTAAACAAGTGGGCAGAAAAAAGAATTTATTTTCTTTGGATTTATTAAGAAAATGAGACAAAAAAGTAAAAACCAAAACAAACAAACACACAAACAAAAAAACATTTTTGCCGATCCTTTGTGTTGTTTCATGTGGTCTCCTCTTTATGCAGATTACACGAGGGCCTGTCAAACTAATGGTCAATTTGCAGCAGTGTCAGTGTGGAGGCATCAGTCCCCCCCCACCCCCACCCTACACACAAACGTACTGTAATTGAAGAATCGTTAATATGGTGGGTCTAACAAGCGGTGCGGCTTACACAGACTGCTGATGCTGACTGTCCGGTGCAGAGTGTATGCAGGGAGCTGAATATGCAGTAACCCTGATCCCTCAGTGTTGATACAATAAACAAGCCGCTTGTCTTGAATTGTTTACATGCAGTGCATCACCTCTGTCTCCGGGGATTAGTACATGGAAAAACAACACTAAAATCATAAGTATTAAAAAAAGGCGTTTTAAAGTTGAAACACGGTGTTACCTAAGAAACTAGTTTCAGTCATTATCTTCTTTTGCTGTTTTTTAATTCCATCCATCCATCCATCCATCCATCCATCCATCCATCCATCCATCCATCCATCATCTTTACCCGCTTTGCCTTTCCAGGACGAGCTGGTTTCTATCTCCAGTAGTCTCCATGCGAGAGGTGGGGGACACCCTGGACAGGTCATAAGTCCATCACAGGGACACACAGGGACATACGAGACATACACTCTCACCAGAGACATATAGGGATTACACCTAGGGACAATTTAGAGTTACCAATCAGTCTAACATGCATGTTTTTTGTCTGTGGGAGGAAACCGGAGTGCCCGGAGAAAACCCACGCATGCACGGGGAGAACACGTGAACTCCCCACACACAGTAAGATGGGGAGGATAACCTGCAACCTAATCGCTATGAGGCAACCGCTATAACCACTGGTGTGCCGTGTCGTCCACTGAGGACCGCTGCCTGAATCTCGTTCTGATGAAAACACGTTTGCCACTTTTCACTGGGTTCTGTTCAGCATCAGTAAGAGAATGACAAGAATGTTAAGAGCAAAGAGAAGAGGCCCACTTCAAAACGGGTCCACCTGCGTTGGCACACACCTTTGAGTCTTGCAATGTGCACTGAAGGAATATTTTAATGTATTCTGGAAGTTTCAAACACCAGATATCTGCAGGGGATGTTTGCTCTCTGTACATGTATTCTACCTGTAATTAGTGTCAAAGCGGATGAATTTAGATAAAAGTTTGTCCTTTTCAATTATAAGAATGCCAAAACTTTTGGACTCGAAGTCATAATTTTTTCTTTTTTACACAAAGTGTCTAAAAAAAATGTGACTTTTTTTTCCCCCAGTCGTACTTAATTAGCAAGTTTGTCACTGTTGACAATTGCCTTGCAGCTCATCAAAAGCACTGGGATTTCTGTTAATCATGTAACCATGTTGATAAGTAATTACCAGTAAGCAAAAGGGATGGGATGTAAATCAGCTGAAAAGGCAAAAAACACACTAACAGGTGCATCTGATGACGTGCTGAGAACTTTATAACGCCAACAGGACTCTTTAAGGGCTTCACATTTTAAGGGGCAGAGCTTTTAAATTGATTAAATTGTGTAGAGAGGAACAAAAGCAATCACTTACTTAACAAATACCCCTTTATTCTCTTTCACCACCCCAAGATCATAACGTTTCATCTCTCTGCCAGACCATGTGGCGCTACACTTCAATTAACATACTGTAATTCTGTAAAGATTTAAAATACCTCAAAAAAATTAATTCAATTGAGTTCAATGTCAACAAAACAAAAGAGCTCATTATTGACTTCAGGAAATTAAAACATCACACGCCGCTGCTCATAAACAACACAGAGGTGGAGGTGGTGGAGAGCACCAAGTTCCTGGGAGTGCACATAACCAATCAGCTGTCTTGGTCAAGAAACGCTGGGTCCCTAGTGAAGAAAGACCAGGAGCGCTTGCACTTCCTCCTAGGCTGAAGAGATCACACCTCTCACACCATGTCCTCACCACATTCTAGAGGAACCATCGTGACCAGCTGCAACTTGGTTTGGGAAGGAAGCTGCTCGGCTGCAGACTGGAAGGATTTGAAAAGGGTGGTGAGAACGGCGGAGAAGATCATTAAGACATCCCTCCCATCCATCCAGGACAGGGGTCTGCGACCTGTGGCTCTGGAGCCACACGCAGCTCTTTGGTCCCTCCGCAGCGACTCTTTCAAGCTTTGACCAAAACTGACATAAAACTGAACTTTATAGGATGTTATATCCACAACAAAAAATGACTAGTTGTACCAGTTTTCTTGTCAATTCCTTTGCAAAAATGTGAATAATAGTTCTAATACACAGAGTCAGTTATACTAACTTTAACTTTATGCTTTATTTCTTCAAAGTAGGATACTCAATTACTCCACAATAAAAAAAATGCATAAGCCTGCACAGTTCATTGTTTTAGTTAAAAAAAAATTGGGATTTTTTTTTTTCTTTACAAGGATTCAGTCTTTTGTGATAGACTTGTGACCTGGATATGGGCACCAGTGACCCCTTGCAACCTAAAAAAGAAGAAACAGGTAAAGGCAATGGATGGCTGGCTGGATGGATGGATTGGTGGATGGATGGATGGATGGATGGATGGAAGGAATTCAGCCTTTTCTTTTGTCTTATATGTAAAAAAAATTAATAATGTTAAAAATAATTAGATGTTTTTAGTTTTACAGTTCCACACCTACTGGCCAGAAAAGCCCGCTCCAACAAACTTAAAGTGGCCCATGGGCCACCAGTTGATAATGACAACTGTAACAAGTTTTACAGCTTTAGACACGTTTAATTTAGTGAATAAAGGGGCAGAAATTGCTCTTTTGATCGTAAAGGTTGCAGCCCCCTGATCCAGGACATTGGTCTCAGACACTGTCTAACCAGAGGAAATAAAATCAAAAGAGACAACCCACACCCACAACATGGACTGTTCACTCTGTTGACCTCTGGCAGGAGGTACCGCAGCCTGAGGACCAGAACCACCAGGTTCTGCAACAGTTTCATCCCACGAGCTATCAGACTACTGAACTCAGGTCACTAATGAAGTGACCACAATAGCACCCCCCCCCCCCCACACACACACACATTTCTAAACACCAAAGTCTATAAAACGCATGTAAATTATTTACTCCTACACTGCTGTGGAGAAATTAAACAAAATTTTGTTCAGTTTTGCATGGTGCACTGTACAATTTTCAATGACAATAAAGTTTATATTTATTACATTTTTATATTATATAACTGATAAAAATACTGTTTTGGAGCTACAAATATGCAGATTCATAAGGGATGCAATGTTGAAATGGAATTTTGTTTTTGGTGTTTTCACAAAATCCTGTTTCTGTGAGAAGAGGACTTGCAAAGAAGAGGGTTAGAGACACATTGAAATGTTTTTGTTTTTTAAATCTGACCTTTTATCTTAGAATTCTGAGAAGGAAAGTCAGACTTCTTAGATTAAAGTCAGAATTTTGACCCCCCCCCCCCCAAAAAAAAAAAATTCTGATTTTAATCTCAGAATTCTGACTTATTTTTCAGAGATTTATAAGAAAAAAGTTTTCTTCTGCCCCACAGAAAATCTTCAGCTGAGACTATTTAGAGATAATCACTCATAATTAAGACTCTTATTGTGAAGTATTATTGAAATTGGATTGGCCTGGT